TGATGTGGGCATATAACCACTCAGAGTAGACAGATGACGTCAAACATCAGGTTCTGTTCCCGGCCCTAGCGACTCACAGAGTCGAAGCACGAAAACAGGGGTACTGATTTCAAAAATAAAGCATAATATGTAACACTGAAGTACAAAGCTAGCGATCGATATGCAAGGACTAAGATTGAGGAATGAGGCTTAAATTAAAACGAAAGTATCATTTTTCTTGTTTATAGGCAAAATTGATTATAGAACATGTATGTTGTAGATAACATAATTTTTTTACTACAGTTTCATTCCCGCTACCCATCAAACGAGTGCTACAGAACTAACTTGTAGCTCATCAGTACATTCTTCAGCGATTGTCTCATCCACAAAGTAAGTCCAGAAAAAGATGACATCGTTCAACAATAAAATGGAAATTTGCAAATTTCGTTCTTTTGCTTGGTGCTGACTTCTCCCTTTCATTCACCCACTTTTCTTTATGGTATAATCGAGACTCATTCATAACACGAGTTCGGATGCTGAGTTTACTTTGTTTCAGTTCGATACAATTGTTAACCAAAACAAGTACCAACCGTACTTGTAGAATAAAAACAATATTGGTACATTATTAAAAAAATGATTTTCACTCTTCTATCTGTCCATTTCATACACTTCACGACTAACTACAGAAGACATCGGTTCGATGGACTTAACAATAAATACTGACGAAAATATTATTTTGAAAATAGAGAATATGTTGCGATTCAGTGTGAATTACAAGAAAGTCAGTTGACATGGGAGAACACATTCAAGAAAACAAAACGTGATAGCTCATGCTGTTTATCATAAGATTAGTTGGACCCACGTGGAAATCTATCATACTCTCCATCGAAAACATAATTACTCGTGATATATGAGTTTAATAAATTCATGCGATGTTCACACGAAAATTCATTTGTAAAAACGTTAAACTCAGAGTTTTGCAGTTGAGCTATCATATTCTGTTGGTATAAGCAGGCTTGACTGGCAGATAGAATGGGTATGTATTACATCTCTATTGTAAATACTCCTTTTCTTAAGAAACATTTGGTTTAATTTGGTAACTTCTCGTGAGAATTTATGGTCAACGGTACTAGTTGCTGAATTCTTGAAGATGGCTGTCTAATTTAGAAGTTTGAACGCTGAATGTTTGTAAAATCCCGTTGGAAAAAAGGACGGCGTTGAAATCTCGCTGACCTCCGAGACGAAAGCTGAAGCAGAACGTGTGGCACAAGTTAAGGCTCTACTGAGTTTCTAACGGTGAATTTAGGGACAAGATGTCTCAATAAAACAAAGAAATGCAGTTGATTGTGAAGTTCCGGCTTCCTGTTGACTCGTTCGACCCGACCTGCAACTTGTTTGTCTCAATAGCCCCTAATTAAACAAAGATGGTTTCACCAGGAAAAACAAAACCCGTATCGAATTTCAGTTTACCCACTATATTTATGTCCCCGGATAAATTTAGAACACGCGAGTAGAATTACGTAAGATGTACTCTGCAGAGACATTTCGACCGATCTCTTCGGTTACGATACACGGACTATGATCAATAGACATGCAACAATTTAAATAAGTGTACAATAGGAATGAGTCAACAGCTGTGATAGAAAAAGCACACAGTACCAG